TGTTTTGAGCATTCCAAGAGTATTTCGAATTCACCATTCGTGATATCTTGCTTTGTTTATAAACACGCCCGAGAACGCAAATCAGAGTGCGATAGCAAGAGAGTTTCCAGGTATGCGTCATCATGCGGCTCCTCTCTTGCTACTGCAGAGTGCAAAGTGCACTCGTTCTATACCAGCAGCGTCAATCAGCTGATCAATTTGAGACATGTCCGCTCTTTTCGTTCTTTACGGTTTTTCATTGAATTGTGTATATGTACATACATACGTATGTGTGTGTGTATAAATTTTACTTCCTACATGCAGCCRAAACGACGACGACGTCGTCGTCTTCAATGCTAATTATGCGTGCCCGTGCATAAAATTATAGAAATTTACGCGGGTGTATCGACGCACGTGTTGTGCGATTGCTGACCATGAATATTATTGCTGTTGTCGCACACTTTTTTTTGGTCTAAGCTGACCATTTGTAGAGTATTTAAAAATGGGGTCAAGGTTAAATATAAGTACGCGACGAACGTGAAACTTATTGCGCAAGTGCCGTTATCTGGACACAAAGCTCTATGTATGTTCGTATGTGTGTGTGTTGTTGTGATAGTTAATCAGATTAATTAGATATTTGTTTTGGAAAAGGATACAATACATAGGCGACAACAACGCCGAACATCACTTCAAAATAATACATGTCCTTGTAGCGATCCAGGACCTTTGCTAGCATCTTCGCATCTTGAATATCACGTGGTATTTTCAAATGTTCCTTCTCAGAGCTAAAACGAAACACACATAAAAAAGACACAAAACAAAAAGCGTTACTTACGACTGTAATAAATGCACAAGCTTCGTCTGCTGCGTATATGTGTATGTGTGTGTGTCTCTGTGTCGTTGTGTGAGTGTAAAGTGGCGTGACTTTTACTGAGCGCAAGCTCCCCGTGCAAAGCTCGATATAATGTCAGAGGGAATTGACACAAGCACAGGTGACAGCGACTGCTCGAGCCGTGAATGCCCGACTAAAGCGGATAGCCCTGTTTAATGCTTTATAATAAAAGCTTATGTGCTAATTGACCGACTTTGAGTGAACTAGGAAATCTAGCTGTACCTACACATATGTACATATATATACATATATGCTCAAGATCAGAATAGATAACTGGCTATATATTTATATATCTTGATTTAATTTAAAGTGCGAACAATTGAGAACGTACGGGTTAAACACCTTCTATAGACTTGGCGCTCATATCTAGAATAATCTGTTCGCATTATATCTGCCGCACTTTGGAGGAGCCCTAAGAGCGACCTCTATTAGAGCTAGATATATTTATTATATGCTCACATATAGAGATAGTATAGTTCATATACTTCATATAGTCTTTTTCTTGTCGACATTAAATTAACTTCGAGGGCTTTACAGTGGGACAGAGTTTTCTGTTACATCTACAGATTTACAATTTACAATAATATATATGGGTAGCTAGTGGAACAAAGCCGTTAGCTTAACTAATTAAAGTTTGCATATATTGCTATTAGACGAAACGTAATATGGAAAACCTGCTCCACTTTTTATGCACGTTTTTTGCACATGTTAATAACTCATTAAACCTTTGCTAATCCGATTTTTACGCACAGAATTGCAATTTGTGTATACAATGGAAACATAAAATGTTTGATCAACACTCACGCATTCAATTCGGGAAATATTGCATATACATAGAACATGGTCATCAAACTGGCCACAAATATTGCAACCACGATGACTAGAGATTTCTTGGTGGCTTTTCGCTCGTCCGCAGACATTGCCTGTTTTTGGGGCGTCACTGGTGGAGGCTGCTGCTGCTGCTGCTGCGGTTGTTGTTGTAGTTGTTGTTGCTCCTGCTGTTGTTGTTGTTGTTGTTCCTGCTGATGCTGCTGCTGGGGCTGCGGTTGGAGTTGATTCGGTGGTTTTGGCTTGCCATTTGCGGGAATCCGCGAACGCACATTTGACATCTTATCAGTAATATCTGTGTTAACGTGAAAACAAACAGGTCAGCAAAGAAACACGTCATGTGCAATAGAGTGCGACAGGGACAGAGCGAGTGCAAAGTAGAATTCGCAGGCGTGGGGGTAGGTGGGGAGGGGGCGCAGTATAACTAAATTGATTTACTACTTACCGCTGTTCTGACTGCTGTTACTGATAAGTGTTACGCCGCTGTCGCCGTAGCTGTTGCTATTGCTGTTTCTCTCCGTTTTGCAAGACATCTCTAAAATCGTTAAGAGCGCTGGCGATGCGAGTGAATTCTCGATTTGGATTAACACAGCGCTTGAGAGCACTTTGTCAGTTTCCGCGTTTGGCTTTGCTTGCGAGCTTTTCAGGGTGCTCCGCTTCTAAATGTATCAACTGTGTTTTTTGTTTTTCTTTTCTTTTTGTTATTGTTGTTGGTGCTGCTGCTGCATGTGTATGAGTATGTGTGTTTGCGCGCCAGCACTAGTCGCTACTATCCATTCGTACATATACAATTTAATCGATAAAAACGACGCACGTCAAAACAGAAACTGTCCGCGACGACAATCAATGACAATTTTATATATTAGTTTGATTTAGATGTGGCCCATCTCCTATGCCCAAAATATCATGCAATCAGGTTGCATTATTTAAAAACTCATGTTTTCTTTCAGCTAGTTTTATTAATTAGACGACAGAGCTCACCCTCTCTCACACTCTTCTACTTCGCGTAACACTCTTCTCGGTGTGGCCAGAGCTTACGAACAACTAAAATACAATGTGCTTGACATTTATTTCAGAGAAAAATACTACTGCTGTATATTACAGCTGGAAATAATACTAGCAAATGGTGCTCCTAAAAAAAATAAACTGAGCCATGTGTCAACATCAGCACGAAAAATTTGACAGATAATTTTCCGTTAATTATTTAAATGGAATAATTATTTTATTCTTTTTATTTAAAATTAATTATACATTTTCATTATTTAAACAAAATTGGTTACATTTCTTATTCAATTTTGTCTTAAAGTAGATTAAAGGCATTATGTGCCTTGGCAAATGATACACGTACGTTAAAATTTTTCGTCGGATCTTACAAGTCATAAGAGCTGTTGTTTGAACTGCCAGTTAAATTTAGAAAGAAATCGTCGTCAGCATATTCTGATTCGTTTGCGAAACTCAAAGAGTCAAAATTTATCATATTTACTTTATCGGAATTATTCGAATTATTATTCAAATTATTATTTGAATTCGTAGTTTCTGATTGGTTTTTATCCTCTTCCATGTCCTCTTCTGGCATGGACTCAGTGCATTGAAAAATATTATCATAATTTAGGTTATCAAATCCATTTAAATCTGAGGGAATTTCGAATGACAATGTTGGCAAAACATCAACCTTTTCGACCACAGCTTTATTAGGAACATTTTTTGGATCAAGCCTATTTTCAACCTCTGGCTGCGACGACTCTGAGGTCATGTCAGATATGTCGACCATATCAGTCGGAAGATCAAGCGGCTCAATGCCACTGGTGTGATCTGGCGAGGGCAAAGGGGCAAAATGTACCTGCTTATTGGGATTTGCTGTGGCCTCTAGCTCATTGGAACTGTCCATCGAGCGATTGAGCACTAATATGGAGCGCAACGGTGGCTCCATTGATGTGTCCATGGCAATAGCTTTGTCAACAACTTTGTTCACCTCAGCATACTTGTTGATGAAATCCAATGCCGGCTGCAGCACGAGCGGCTCAGCTTTCTTGGGCAGAGCCATAGCCTTGGTCTCGCAAGCCTTGACCTTGGTGACGGATGGCACTGGAATCTTCATCTGTGGAAAGGGTTGGCAGTGTGAGAACGAAAATGTAATGCACAGTGCATTTTCTTTATGATTACCACAGTGATTCGCTTGCTCAGCTGCACCAAGGAAACAATCTTTTTGTTTCGTTGCTGAGTGGCTCGAGCCAATTTCTCGCTCCAGTAGCGCTCCATTTCAGCTGATTCTAAGACGATCCTCGAATTGGCTTCCTCTGCTTCCTTCAATTGTACCTGCCATTTACGAAACTCCTGAACTGCACACACACACACAATTTTTTGTATGTTTAATTTCTTATATATGTGAGAATTGAGGGTACAAACCAATTGAACGCGCTTCCATTGCGACTTTTCCCTCCAGCTGGAGTTTCTGCTCCATTTCAATGGCCTTGATTTTCTGCTGCACCTCCTGTTCCTTCCGCATAACCCCGAAACTCAGCATATTCTTGATCTTCTCATCGTCGAACAAGTTGGCCGTTTCCAGTAGATATTCGTATGAGCTTTGTATAGTTTTGGCAACGGTTTCCATTTGTTTAATTTCTTCTTGACGCACATCTGTCGCTTCACGTGCCAGCACCATATCGATACGCAGATTCGGAGTTTCCTTATGAAGGTCTGAAAATTGTGTAAATTACCTGGTATGTATGCACTTAAATTTTTTGTAATGGCGGCTAACGTACTTTCCCTCATTTTCTTGAGCTCGTCTTTGTCTTTAAGCGCATTTTCAAGGCGAGTTAATACACTATGGAAATCTTCACTTGATGTTGCCAAATGCATAATACATTGGAATACTCTAGGAAAATATTCCAAGGTCATTTCGCTTAATTTTTCTATGTTTATGTAGGCGCGAAGTGACTGCAAGTCAAAACGTTAACAGTTATAAATTGCATATATCGATAGTTTCGAGCCTTTGAACTAAATCATTTATCGGAACTGGAACTCATTTGGGAATTTTCATCAGACAACTTTTAGTTTTTTCTTTTTTATTTCAAGTGCTGTAGCCTTTGAAAAAACGTTCTTATTAATTTAGCGTAATTATATTGACATTTTTTTTTTTTTCCTTGACATCTAATTGGTTTTAAAAGGGGTGTTTCTGTAGCAGAACCCTTTATTTAGTTGCCGCCGCAGCCAATTGTATGTATGCAAAGTCAAATATCGGTGCTTAAATTTCGTCTTACAACACTATTATAAATGGTATCACTCATGCGCGAAATCTGGCAATATTTATCGTGACGCACACTAACACACACGAGCAATCAAGCTAAGCAATCACCTTCCGAAAGTGTCTGCGCTATCCTGAAGATGATGTGAATAAGTTAATAACACAATCGAAACGCGACATTTAACGCGATTCATAGCGCTTTGGCCGCAATCTCTAAAACGAATTAGTTAACGTTACGCTATTTGCATGCCAAGCTGGCTCTGAGATTTTTTTTCACATCCAGTTAACTAGTCTATCGTCTCCCTTTTCGGGATGTCACAGTTCGAGCGTGAACGGGGCTCAGGCCCGTTGCCCAACCGTTGGCTTTACTGTCCACGAAAAAGCGACTCAATCATAGCAGACCGGTTCCTCGCCTTCAAAACACCGCTAAGCCAGTCCTTCCAAGACAAGATGCCCATCGAATGCACTTTTCGTCCCGAGATGCTCTTTGACTACTGCAAAACGCTTAAGGTAAGAGTTGTCAGAGGTGGCGTGTTGGCTTAAAAAGGTGTTAATGTGTGTCGAATATCTTACAGCTAAAACTGGGCCTTTGGATTGACCTGACGAACACAAAACGTTTTTATGATCGCAGCGTTGTGGAGGAGCGCGGCGCCCAGTACATTAAGTTGCAGTGTCGGGGTCATGGCGAAACTCCATCACCGGAGCAGACTCACAGCTTCATTGAACTGGTTGACAACTTTATCAATGAGCGACCGTTAGACGTTATTGCTGTACACTGCACACACGGCTTTAATCGCACGGGCTTTCTTATCATCTCGTATATGGTGGAAAAGATGGATTGCTCTGTAGAGGGGGCACTTGCCGTGTTTGCAAAGTCCCGTCCACCGGGCATATACAAACAGGATTATATCAATGAGCTCTTCCGTCGCTATGACGACGAGGAGGACGCTCCTCAAGCCCCAGAGCAGCCCAATTGGTGTTTGGAATATGATGATAGCAATGGCAACGATAATTTCGGTGGCGACAATAGAAAGCGTCGCTATGATGACAACTGTTCTTCTACTTCTCAGCAGGCTGCAGCGGCGGCAGCTGGATCGGGCACTGGAGGAGCTGAGGAGGACGACGAGGAGGACACGGGCGATTCAAATGCAAATTGTGAGGAGGACGCCGCCTCCGGCGATGGGCAACAAAAGAAGAAGCGACGTCGCGAGCTAATCGTCAAGAATGCGGCATTTATGGCCGGTGTACCCGGCGTGCGGCAGGTGACAGATCAGCCTCGTGTCGGTGAATTGCAGCGTCGGGTGCAGGACTGGTGCCACTGGCAGAAGAATGGCTTTCCTGGAGCGCAACCCGTATCGATGGACCGGCACAACATCAAGAGGCTCAGCGAGATACCGTATAGGGTTTCGTGGAAGGCAGATGGCACACGATACATGATGCTAATTGATGGACGCAAGGAGATATACTTCTTCGATCGCAATAACTCCTGCTTCCAGGTGGAGAACATGTCCTTTGTCAGTGGCAAAAATCTCCACGATCATCTCGATGGCACACTGCTGGATGGCGTAAGTGATTTAGATGACGTCTCAAAGCCATGTTAAAATAATTCTATAATTTTTGATACATTTGTAGGAAATGGTGCTGGACAAGATTGGTGACACCGTGACGCCACGGTATCTTGTCTATGACATTGTTCGCCTAGCAGGCCGGGATGTGCGGGAGGAACCATTCTTTCCAAATCGGCTGGACTATATTAAAAATGACGTTATAGGTGTGCGGGAATGAACCGAATCATCAATATATTATGTATTTATTTATGTTTTACAAACTCTTTGCTCCAAGGTCCACGCATCCTTGCCATGAAGCACGGCATTATTAACCGTGCCCTGGAACCCTTTAGCGTGCGAAATAAGGATTTCTGGGATATAAGCACTTCGGCCCGTCTATTGGGCGAGAAGTTTTCACGTTCACTAGCTCATGAGCCCGACGGCCTCATCTTCCAGCCCTCACAGCAGCCGTATACGGCAGGCATTTGCGTAGACGTTTTTAAATGGAAACCACATGAGCTCAACTCCGTCGACTTTCGCCTAAAGATACTGACAGAGCGCGGCGAGGGGTAAGACAAATTCCTAACATTCTGTACTCGAATTAAAGGTTTAACATTCATAAGCCCTGCCTGCTGCTAGTTATATTGTTTGCACTTGGTTAGTTAATCGTAACTCTTTTTTGTCATACTCGTTTTAAATATCACGTTAGATCCTATTGTATCCTATTGATTATGAATTTTCTAATGCCTTCCCTAGGCTGTTGACCAAGAAAGTTGGCTTTCTCTATGTTGGCGGCCATGATGCTCCCTTCGGTCGCTTGCAGAAGCTGACAAAGGAGGTTCGTGAGCTAGATAACAAGATTGTGGAATGCACCATGAATCAATATGGTAACTGGGAATTTATGCGTGAGCGAACTGACAAAAAGTTGCCCAACAGCTTCAACACCGCCAACTGTAAGTGTTTCACTCTATACGACATTGCCACAGATATTAATCAAACGTTTCATTGCAGCCGTCGTGAAGAGCATCAAGCATCCTATTACCAAGGATTATCTACTAAGTTTCATTCAAAATTTTGGCTTCCGTGATGATCATACAATGATGCCGCCTCCAGCCGCACAGCGACGTTAGCCATGCTAAGAGCAGCTTTCTCCTCTCCTATGCAGGACCACATCCACCCCATAGACACCCTTGACATACACTCACTAGGAAATTAATAAACCATAATAAAGAGAGATTGCAATTCTTTTTTTCTGCAATTGCATGCAAATTGTAATATGTTTAAACTTAACGTGGATCAGGGTAAAGGCGCTAATAGTATTTATTTTTAGATTGATTTAAAATTAATTGGATCTTTACTCATCTGATATCCAGAGAGAGCTCATAGAAAAAATGATTTCTAATTAAAGAAGAAAAATTGTTGTTTTTCTAAATTTGAGTTTTATTTGTAGTCGTCTTAAGCTAAGCAAGATGCAAATGGATTAGCAATAACTATAAATTAACGGGATAGCTTGCGCTCCAGTGAACTAAGCTCCTGCTGATCTTAGGTTAGACGCACTGGTACGTTCCTTAATATTTCCTTGTTATAGCTCTTATTTAGCAAGCAATTCAAAAAAAAAAAATGGTTCTTCAAGTAAACAATTCAGAAAATTTTTTATTATACAAAACAACTGATTTTGTATTCATTTTATGAAAGCTGTTAATAAAAGACACGTTTTTCTGTCACTAAAATAGACGCACTTAAGCTTTTTTTTACGAAAGGAGCTTTATTTACAGTATTATTTTTAATATTTGTAAATTAAAATAATAATAATAATAATTTCAAAATTGAGTACCGCCTCCTCTATTCAAAATAACCTCATAGATCCGGTCCTTCATGGAGCGATACAATGAGTTTATGTAGCTCAGCGAAATCTCGCTCCAAGCAAGTTTAAGTGCAGCAGTTAGTGTTTCTTTGTCTTCGTATTGTTTACCCCCTTCAAATACTTTCCTTGAAAGCCATCCCCAAACATCTTCAATTATGTTTAGATCTGGGGAATGCGGCGGCCGAGTCATGACCAGAACATTTTCACTCGTAATAAATGATTTCACAGCTCGGGCATTATGGATCGGAGCATCATCTTTCTGGAATATCCATGGCAATGGTCCGAAGAGGCTCTTAATCTTGGGGAACACGGATTGCAACAAAGTTTTGAAGCGCTCAGCGGTCATCTTCTGATCTATGAAAACTAAATCTACTGCTCCATAAAATGTGATGGCGCCCCACACCATGACTCCACCTTCACGGCTGTGATCATCTTTTCGTAAATCATCAGGGCCATCCAAATTAAAGCGTTTTTCATCAGTAAAAACAACCGAACGCCAATCATTGAGTCGAGTGTCAGACTGAACTGTCCATGTCATGTGTTCTCTCGCATATTGCAGCCGCTTTTTCTTACGTATAGCATTCAGAGGTGGTTTTCCCTTCATTTTCAGAGGCTCAAGATTTTTTGCTTTTGTATTCCTAATTGCACGCTGAACAGTTGAAAGGCTGGCGCTTACACCGGCTGATTCCTTAATTTTAGCTGCAGACTTGGTCGAATCCGATGCAAGTTTGACAATTTTACGCTCATCTCGGGAAGTAAGTGCTCGTCTTCGCCCTTTAAATTGTGTTCCATATGCCTCTGGATCTTTCAAATATCTATCAACAGTTCTGGAGCTGCGTTTTATCTTTTTGGCAATATTTCTGTTAGAGAGTCCCCGTGAGTGAAACAAGTCTATTTTTTGACGTTCCAATAAGCTTAATATAGTAGCTTTTCCCATTTTTGGTTGATTTGATAATTTGTAGTTTTTACTTAACCAATGCAGCTTAACCCAAATCGACGTGCGCGTAATTCAATGACCAATCGAATGCCCTATGACTGCAGATTTCTAGTCTTCGATTGCGCAGCTATCGTTTCAAATATCAACAAACTTTGAACAGATGTTTTTCGAACTAGGCTCGAATTTTAATAAAAAAAAAAAAAAAAACAAGGTTTGACAACTAAGACATGCAAAATACATAAATAAGTAAAACAGTTTTTTTTTTTTTTTTTTTTTTGTTAAAAAAATGGGTGCGTCTAACCACTGACCAGAGAGCACATAGACTAGACATGTAAACAAATTTTTCTACAGCAGAAAATGTTGCGAACAAAAAAATATATATATATGTTTTAAGCCGGCGGCTTGTCCCGAATCCGAAACCGAAGAAGCTGCATTAGCTCTGTTCATAGCGAATTGCAATGCGATTGAACCTGTAGATCATCTCACAGATTCGGATTGCGGCGGCACAGGTTATGTTGCAATAACTGCAAATTGCCAGAAGAGTGTTTGGCGCGTATTGGATCGATGGCCACATACGAGGCTAGTGAAGAGAATACGGATTGTATACTTGACAATGTCTTGAAATGTTTGGAATAAAAAAGAAAAAACTCAAATTAAGAAACAAAATTTTTGTCCTGCATTCTGTCCTTTTCTTTAATTTTCAGCCTCTTTTTTCGTATTTTCCGGACATTTTTGGCTTTTTTCCAACGAAAAATTGGCATCACTGATACACCAACAAATTTAAATGGGATCTTATTTATCAGTCATTCATTATGTATTAACGTACTTCATTATTTTTCTGTTCTAACAACATTTCTAACATTTAAAACTAAAGAAAACTGAAATAACTGCCCTTTTCCATGTCACAGATTATTTCGTGCACTTCACTTTCAATGACTTTATTGCCCAAAAATTCTTGAATAAGGATTTTTTTACTTTCTTTTGTTTAATCACCTCTTTGAAGCGTGATTCCATCAAGTTTTACCATTTTTGGGCGACTTGGCTGGAATTTTTTGGCCATATCTCCAATAGGGCTGTTTTGAGGTCATTTTATTAGATATTTACCTTTCCCGAATGGCCACGCCCAATTTCGTCCACAAATTTTCTATAACGTTTAAGTATAACCACTGGGCTAGTGGATTCACCACATATGGACAGTTCCAGATTAACCAGGACTGGACAATACCCGATTTATGTTTTTGGTCATTAGCCTGATAAAATCGGGATCGCCCTTCTAGACCAAGTTCTTCGGCACTATGAACTGAATTCTCATTTGAAAAGGATAGGTACATATACTTGTTCATATTACCATCTATGGAAACTACATAAGTTACCAACTCCCGAGGACGCGATGCAGGGCCAGCCAGACACTGCCACCGCCATAGTTCATAATTGGTTTAGGTGCTGATCATGGAGCTCGGTAATTGGTGGCCGCCAAACATATTGCATCCAATCCGACACATGTATATGCGGATGAGTCGAAATTTAATATGTTTGCGTCGGATTCGTTTGTCGTTTTTGCATTAAAAATCGATAACTCGTCCCGATATTTTTTTTTATCGAAAATCAGTTATAAAATTATATCTCTTACATCTTTGGAGCTACAATCTCCAAATTGAATGTATATTTATGTGCATTTTATACAATTTTGGTTTTTGTTATATATCCACTATATCCATCCCCTCACCCGTAAGTTTGTAAAATGCGTATTTCAAATACTAGAGACTTGTGCTTTGGCAAGTGCTCGCATTTCATTGTTATAATCCCGATCTGAAAGTTTCATGAAGATCGAAGGGGGCATGGTATCCAAAATCTGTAAATTACAAGATCTGTGTATCCATTAACTTTATATACAACGCAAACTCCAGGTCTAAAAGTGTTCAAACTAGGCTGAAAAAACCCATTTTCAATGGGTTCAGGGTATAAAAATAGTTTCGCATTTTTATACCCCGAACCCATTGAAAATGGGAAATCAGGGTATAATGGTTTTGTTGAAATGTATGTAACAGGCAGAAGGAGGCGTGGCAGACCCCACAAAGTATATATATTCTTGATCAGGGTGACGAGCTGAGTTGATTTGGCCCTGTAGCTAGCACTCCAAGGGTTCAGGGGATCTCGTAGTCGAGCAGTCTCGACTAGAGCTTTCTTACTTGTTTCTGTTATATTTTTTCACATTATGTAATGTAATTTATTATATTTGAATTTTTTAACTTATAGCAAAATAGATTAAACAAAGGAATAAAAACGACATTAGGTCGATCTAACGCTAGTCTATAGCACTTTACAACCTATATAATTACACCTTAATACAAACTGATCATTTCATAAAGGACGTCAGGATAAAAGGGTTTTCCTAGATACCTAGATACAAGGCACAAGGAAATCGCATAATCGTGACTTAACAAAACGGTTACTTGGTTTTAGCTGATTAGGCTGCCGTTCTCGAGGAGGGTCTTCTCATTCAGGTGTCCGAGTTGCAGGAGCGCCACCAATGCGGCGCCCTGCTCGGCCTGCTTCTTGTTCTTTTCCCAGAAGCTGCTGCTAAAGCGCTGTCCATCGTAGCTGCAGATGGACCGGAAGAGCTTGTCACACTGATGTGTCTCGTAGCTAGGCGCCTGCTTGCCCAGTTTGCCCGCCAGCACATAGAGCACCATCTTAGGCAGCTGGGTGTCTACAAGGGGACAGAGAGATAGAGTCGGATGTTCTGTTGAATTGGTAATGGGAATACTCACCACTTGGATAGGTTGAACGGAGGAACGCCATGTTGCGGCAAATGACGCCCTCGTACTCGTCCGATAAATCCTCGGACCGCTCCAGTTTTTGCCTCTTAGCCAGACACTCTGTTAGTATCACATTGGCTCTTCCGCCATTGCCGTGTTCCTTAAGCTCCTGCTGCTTTCGCCTGCAGTAGTCACCCAGGCCCCATATCTCGCATATTTGTTGCAGCGTCTGGCATTGCAGGAATCTCTTGCCGCGGGGCGTTTCCTGCAGCTCTTTGAGGATGCTCTGCACGCAGTACTTTGAATTGTGCGGTGCATTATCGTAATCGACGCATAACCGCAGATATTTACAGATCACCTCATCAATTGGCAACATGCCCTGCTTCCGAAATATGGACACATTGAGCTGGGCGGCACGGGCCACCATGACGCTATCGGCGCCGCACAGTTCCTGGAATTTGTGCAGATCCTCGTACGTGTGCATACTCCGAGATCCACCATTGGCTATAATAGGTATGTCAACGGCACTTGCAACAGCTCGCAAAACATCGGGATGCGGATGATGCTGCGGTCGCTCATCTCGCGTTCGTGCATGGATTCCAATGGCGGCTATGCCCGTCGCTGCCAGTTCTTGCACCAATTTGATGGTTTCCAAGGTATCCGGCAGTATCCTAATCTTGCAGGTGATGGGTATGTCCAAGTGCGTTGTGAGCGTTCGCAGAATATGTGCTGCTTTCGCTGGCTCAGAAAGCAGCGCTGCGCCCATCCCTCCCTTAATGGAAAACTCCTTGGGACAGCCCATATTAATGTCGAGCCCAGCAATATCATTTTGCACCAGTTTGCCTACGGCTAGAGCTCGGGCTGCATCGCTGGTTCCTAACTGAAGCACTACTCTGGATGTTTCTAGAGAACACGTGCGAAACACGATTGTGCCGTCAGAGGGATCCACGAAATCAATCGTATTCAAGGCGGCTAAGAGGTAAGGTAATTTATATTATTATTTATATGTTGTTAAATAAATAAACCAACTTACGATTTGGACGGCGTAAACTTTTGATCAACTTCAGATCGACGAGCTCCTCCGTGTAAACGATATCAGCCCCCATTTCGAGGGCTAGCAGCCGCATGGGTAAGGTCCCCACTCGCACCATTGGTGCCATAATTATTTTGTTTCTGTAGTCGAGTCGCGGCTGTTTCATTTTAAGTCTTGGCAAATTGCTGAGAAACGATAACCACTTAAAGCGAGACATCCAGACGGCACAGAAACGCAATATGCAATCGATACGTGCTAGACCCCCATATGTTTACAGGGTTGCATTGGCAGTTTAAAAAAAAAAAAAAACAAAAAAAAAAACAAAGAACAAAGCAAAACAAAGAAATCGATATTGAGACCTTTGCCTATTTGCAACTCTGCTACTGTTTTTGTTGTATATATACGATCCAAACTTTGTTTCGGGATTGTTGTCAAAATTCAATAGTAAATTAACAGATTAAACGCGTAAAGTGAATTTCTAATATTGATCAGAAATCTTACCAAATTTAATGCACGCTGAAAATATTCATCAACTAATTGGCGCCACGGCAACACGAACCCCACCTCGTCCAGCAGATACCAAAGAGAAATCCGCGTTAGCCTTTAATTGAATTAGCGCCATTCAGTAGTGCGCCTTTTAATTTTCCCGTACAGAGGTCAGCACTAACTTTAGCCCTGAAAACGTGATCAACTTGACCACTCTTTTATGTATATTCATTTCCACTCAACAGGACTTGTAGAAGAACGACTTACGGCGCAATAGCGGTCAAGGCAACATCTACTTGTCTCCAGCTACTCCAGCACTCGAGTACTGAAGACAAAATACGGTGTGTGAACCACTTGCATTGTCTGCTGAGGAAGCCCCAAGTTGTCTCTTAGCGCCAGTGCGCGCTATGCGAAAGATTCGTCTGGATACACTGAAGCGGTTCCATTGTGACTTAGACGATTCAACGATACGGTGAGAGATTAAAGCACAGCACCACGCGATTGAAGAACATCATGTCCCTGCTGGCCCTCGGCGGCGGTGGTGGCGGAAGCGGCGGCACCGAAGACGGCAGCTCCAGCGACACCGAGCCCGATGCACTCATTGATTTCACGGCAATGCTAATGGAGCGGAAACATGAGTGCAATGGCGGTTGGTTTAGCTGCGGAAGCAAGCTGCAGTCCCAGGCCCACGAGGACCACGGCTACTACCTTGGACAGTATGTGCTGGGAGTACTCGATTTTAGCTCGCAATATGGTATTGATTATAGCATATCCTACACGGCTGCCAATGTGATTGGCAGGCCAACAAAATTTCCTGCCTACGGCGACTACCCAGAGACCTTTACAATGGTGAGCTAGATTGTTGATTGAAGCATGTTAATTCTTTCTGTTTCGAAGGGTCTTGGTACAACAATTAGAACTTAAAGGCAGATTTCAAATATTAGTTAAAATGTCGTGATCGTATGCTTAGATATACTTGAAAGAATTGAGGAAGGAGATCTTCAAAAGAAAAATTATGTTTAATTACGATATGACATATCCTATGGTATAATATATCTTATGTATCACATCATAGGATAAAACACACCTTTCTGTCCGTATTCAGAAAATTCGTTCGTATAATGAATATCTTTAAATAGATTGGCTTCCATTTAGTTGAATATTGATCGAGAAATCTACATATATCGACTTTATTTTCCTTTGATTTATTGTATTTTGCTTTGCTTTACTTCCGTGTGCAGCGTACCTACGGTGATTGGTGGCAGCAAGCGCCATCGGCCACCCAAGAGATTCAGGCCCAGAATTTGCCAGCTCTGCCCACACATGACTTTATTGGTAAGTATAGCACTTGCAGTTAGGCTGAGGTAACGAGTGTGACCGACTGGTTTAACGGCTTGCCGTGCAGTTGTTTATTTCGAAAAGTTTGTGGTGCCAACGGAAGTCGCCATCTTCGAGACATTCAATCCGGGCGGCGTCGTGCGAATCTGGGCCTACAGCATCACCAAGCGTTGGACCTGTCTGTGGGAGGCCACAGGCAACGATTTGAATCGTGTACCACGCGATTCGCGCCGTTTTGCACCGCCTCTAAAAAAAACTAATATAATTACAAAGTAAGATTGCGTCAGCCACAGCTGTTTGTTTGCTCTGCTAACAATCATTTGCTTCTTTCTATGCAGAACGTTGCGCATTGACTTTAATCACAGTCGACTAAATTACTACACCGAGATAGATGCCATTATGCTGTGCGGTAGAACGGTACCAATGCGTTGCATGCACCAGCTGCTTGCGCCCGCGGGCAAGCGGCTCGCTAACACTGGAGAGGAGAGCGGAAATGGGCCCATCATTTGCAAGTTGCGCACGCTGAAGTTCCAGCCCAGCTGCCAGGGGAATGATGCTGTGAAGCTTCACGAGTTTATTAACAACGATCTGAGCAAGTTCTTGACGGACAGCCGTGTGGAGTCTGAGCAGCAAAAGAATACCAGCACGACACGAATCTGTCTAACGGATCTGCCGGTTGGCCAACCAACTTGTTTTACCAGCTCCGCACTTCATCTCATGTGTAAAGTCTTTCTCGTAGTGTGAAATCCTGTTGAAAATACTCAGCTATCTGGACCTAAAGTCGCTCTTTCGCATGGGTCAAGTGTCGCACCTGTTCTACGATATTTCCACCCATCCGCTGCTCTACTGTGACCTCAGCCTAAAGGCCTACTGGCAGCTGGCTGACTCCGAGCTGCTGTGTACGCTGGCGCGACGTGCGACGATGCTGCGGAAACTGGATTTGTCATGGTGCGGCGGGTTTGGAGAAATTTCACCCACAGAGTTCAAAAAGTGATTAAGCTTCAGCAAATTAATGATATGCCAATGATTACCTGTATAGCACTTTCCCTTTCGATACCTCCACAGATTTCTAACCCAACGTGGTGACAATATCACCCATTTGCGCCTTAACTCCTGCAAGTTTCTCAATGCCAGCTGCATCGAGACAGTTGGTATAGTCTGTGATAACCTGATAGGCAAGTCAGCTGCAATTGCTCTTCTACTTGTATACTAAAGATGCGTTTGGCTTCTCTTATTTACAGAATTGAGCCTACGAAACTGCTCGACGAACCCGCCGCTACTCAATTTTTCCTGCTTAGCCAATCTGAAGAATCTGGAGCGGCTCGATCTCTTTCAAACTGCCTTTGAGTCGGAGCTATTACTAAGCATGCTAGAAAGCAATCGCAAATTAAAACATTTGAATCTTGGTGGGCTTTCATCGCATTGTCATGAAAACTGTAGTTGTACTCAATCCTGTTCCTTTCGATAGCCTTCTGTGGTGTTTCGGTAAACATGGATAATGTCGCAACCCATCTGGGCACATACAACACCCAACTCGTGTCACTGGACATGTGGAAAGCACACTTTTTGTCCGCGCGAGGACTGCAATCGTTGGCTCGCTGCCAACAGCTAGAGGAATTGGATCTGGGCTGGTGGTAAGTAGTCACAAAGTCTCATTGATGCTGTCGGTATGCGTAATGGAATTCCGTCTGATGCAGCATGCGAGAAGCCACTTTGGGCGATAGCCTATACCAGCTGCTCTATAACTGCCCCAAACTGAAGAAGCTCTTTCTGTCGGCAATGCGAGGCATCACAGAGCGTGATCTCATGCATATCGCAACACTGGGCAAGAATCTAGAGCAGTTGGATTTGATGGGCATACTTAATATAACCCACGAGCGCGTTTATGAGTAAGTCTCGCAGATTCTGCTGCTGCACAATGTATTGTTGTTGTCTCTGCCTAATGTGTATAATTTGGCTTTCAGCATTCTGGTGCATTGTTCAAAGCTAAAACTGCTGGATTTGTGCTTTTGTGACAACTTAATGGATAGTGATGTAGGTCAGCATTTGATACTTAATTGATCTCTTCTAATCATTTTGGCTCTATTGCAGTTGGATGTAATTGCGGATTGGTCACGACTCTTTAATGTGGATATTAAAAGTAGCCGCATCTACAACTCTAGATAGTTTTAATTAAATGGCATACCGCGTGCTATATAGACTAAGCGACAGTGTAGCTAATTTTTATTATCTATGTGTAAAGCGTTTGCGCCAGCCTGTTTATATATATAACAGATAACGATTGTTGTTGTTTGGGCGTAGTAATAAATTTGATAAACACATAAACGACCTTCCAGCTGATTGTCAATACAATCCAACTGGGCTTATTTCAAGCTGTTTTCCGTCTGATCTAGATACATATACAACATGCTCATTACAAAAGAACAGGTCCTGGGAGTTATCGGCAAGGAACACAGCTGCTTCGGTCATCATCAGATCTGCATGGCACAGGGAAGAAGCAACGCATGCAGCACATGTACTACATTAAATTTGATTTTTATTCAAGCTGCCAGTTAGCCCGGCCAACGCCGGGTAATGTGTGCCTCTTATATTATTATAAATAACAATATATACAAAAAAATATATTTTCATTCTTAACAAAAACTGAGTTAGCGAGTTTAAATTAGGCCTTTGATGGATCCTCAGCTCTGCTGGCTATGGGCTCAACTTCTGGCACTTGCTCAGCCCCATTCGTGGCTGGAGCTATGTCGGCGGATTGTTCGATGATGGGGGCCGTCTTTTCGCTTTCGACGGCGGCTGGCTTCTTGGGCGCCGGCTTGGCGTCGCTGCGTCCGAATATAGCCTTCTCAATGCCCAGAATGGGGGCCTCAAAGGCGAGCGTCGCAAAGATGGAGAGGGTGAGTGTGATGCCGAAGTCGTGCCACCAGCGCAAAATCTGCAAGCATACAGACATTAGACATCAAGAGACTGAAGTGCAATGTGAGCTTACCGCATCGTAGTCGGAGAAGTGGGTGTCCGTTTGCAGTCGGGCGGCGTTCACGAGCTGCACGATTCTGTGTATGACGTACATGCAGTAGCACAGCCGACTGAAGCCCGTGAAGAAGCTCCACGAGAGGAAGTCATTGATGAGGCCGCCATGACCATTGTAGCAGGCCCACACAATCCAGCCGATGGCCAAGGCCCAAGAGCTGCGGCTGAGCGGCTCGAACAGGGCGCCCTCAATGAGTGGAGAGTCGGGCGTGTCGGGCAGGATTCGCCAGAAGGGACCCCACATATCCGCCAGCATCGTGCCAAAGGCCAGCACCCAGCCAGTGATCACCCAGTGCCTGGCCAGCGGGATCTGTCGTCCCCGATTGCGCGTGAACAGGAAGTAGCCGAAGATGACGCCGATCAGCCATGTCGGAATGCGCGTATGCGTCGGATAGTAGGTCAAGCGCTGGCGTAGATCCACATGATCGTCCTGCACGCGGAACAGAGTGAAGTCGTTGTGCAGGAATGTGGCCACCGTACAGCCCAGACAGAGTATACCGAATATTCCAATGGGTATCAGCGCCTTCTTGCCCCACTTATACAGCGGTATAAGGAACAGCGGCGAGAGGAAGTACAACTGGGTGTCCACAGCCAGGTACCAAGACTGCGAGACGCACTGTAGTCAAAAAATTAAAAGTGTGACCTCTAAATACAAGTTCGAACAATCAAGGTTGCTCTAGTCGAGACTGCTCAACTCGGAGGAGGTAATCTAACCCTACGACGAGAATAGATTATACATACATATATAGACTCTCATGATCAAACTTCTGAATTGTGATAACTACGAAATCTTTGCAATTATTATATACCTACAAATTGGGTTTGAAAGCCTCTTATGGTATACAAATCACGCCTAAAAAAACATAATGAAATTATCAATTTTTACGATAGTAAGGAAATGGGAGCAGCTATCAAGAAAAGAAATGGACTCGTACTGCATATGGCATAGACGAGTATACGTGCACAATTTCTAGTCTCTAGCTTTGGAGGTGGACGAGATATTTGCGATTATACCGCAGGACAGACAGACATGGATAGATAGATTCGGCTTGCCTATAAATAGACTCTTCCACGCCTCCTCCTTCCTATTACATACATGGGTATAAAAAGGAAATGCTTTCACTTACTATGCTGTACGGGAAGGCGTAGTTCTGCACGTAGAGCAGTGTGGCCCACCAGGTATCCGCACAGCGCTGATCCTGGGTGCCCAGCTTGAACCACATGGGTCCGGCGCCGGAGTAGCGATATAGCGACATGATATAGAGGACGACCACAGCGACGACCGGCGTCAGGCGGATGTAGCGATGGAAGTACATCATTGGAATATTCAGCTTGCCCTTGGTGCGGTCCATCTCCCGGAAGGCGCCCCAGCACATCAGCAGGCCAGACATGAAGAAGAACGTGTCCACGCAGAGCGAGCCGTTCTGCACGAGCATCGAGTAGGGTGTCTGCAGCCACGTGTAGTACTTGTTGCGGTTGATGTGCGGCAGGTCGTAGAACGTCATGTAGCCGTGGCCGAACACCACCCACATCATGCTGAAGCAGCGCAGTCCGTTCAGGCAGTGGATCACATTCGGATTGTTCACCTTCTTGACCGTGAAAATCTTTGGCGCATTGTGCAGCACCGAGAAAGCCAGGAAGAGCGGTCTCTTGGGCGCTGCAAAAATGAAAGGAATTCATTTCTCTTAGACTCTACAGCATTTTGGAAAGGATGCTAGACCTACCGCCCTTACGGGTCTGCACAAAGTCGTAAACGCTGCTGGCTAGCAGGAAGAATATGATCAGCGAGAAGAAAACGCTGCGCAAACAGAAATAAGAATTACTTGTAACATTTGAAATCTTGATCCTTCATCGATTGGCCTCACTCACATGGCAAATATGTCCACTCCGCGGAACTCGACGGGCGCATTGTATTTACACCACTTCTGCTGGATCATCGGAAAGCTAAGGTCGATGACATCGTTGCCATAGAGGTGTGCAATCGCGTACTTCAGCAGGGCGTCGGTTTTCTCCGCGCTGCAGGTGCTCGGCACGCAGACGCCCAGCTCAAAGATCTCAGGATCTGTTTGCTTGTAGCTGATGCGAGAGAACTCCTCATGCCGGCGCTTCACCTTGCTGTAGAACTGGGTGATGTTCAGCCGTGCCAGGCAGTACTGGCCGTTGAGTTCACTGCCGTAGGTGGCTGTGGCTGCGACGCACTCCTCGTACTGGCCCATGCTGATCAGATGCCCCCAGAAGAAGCCCACGGGCAGGCGACCCCATGTGTCCGGAACTGCAAGTGGCGCAAAGGCAAATAATATAATCAGCTAATATTATTTTTCAGTATATTCATTTATTAATTAGGATCATGAAGTATCAAAGATTTATTAAGCCCTGCGATCTCATGGATCAAAGTCGACATCGCAGAAGAAACTGAACAAGATTGCTAAAGCACAAGTATCTAGTATTTGAAATACTCCTTTTACAAATTTAGCATGAGGGAGTGGATATAGGGTTGGGGGTGAATTATATAAAAAATCTAAACTTATAAAACACATATGAATTTAAATTTGGAGAATATGCCTTTAAAGGTGTAGCGAATATAATTTTATGGCCGATTTTCGATAAGGGAGCAGTTACCGATTTTTATACCCTGAACCCATTGAAAATGGGAAATCAGGGTATAATGGTTTTGTGAAAAAGTATGTAACGGGCAGAAGGAGGCGTGGCAGACCCCACAAAGTATATATATTCTTGATCAGCGCGACGAGCTGAGTCGATATAGCCCTGTCCGTCTGTCCGTCCGTCCGTCCGTCCGTCCGTCCGTCCGTCCGTCCGTCCGTCCGTCCGTATGAGTGCGTCGATCTCAGAAGTTATAAGAGCTAGAGAGCTGAAATTTGGCATGCATACTCGTGAGTACCATACGCAGTACGAGTTTGCTTTATTTTTTCGATAAATCGTCCGATAACTTTTTTATCGAGAATAATCGAAAAATTGATTTTGTTTTTTTAGCCTAATTTGAACATTTTTAGACCTGGAGTCTTCAAATTTGCGTTGTATATAAAGTTAATCGATACAAAGATTTTGTAATTTACAGATTTTGGATACCACGCCCCCTTCTCCCCCAATTTGTAAAAAACGCATTTCAAGTACTAGAGACTTG